ATCGGGGTCCGGTTCCGTTACAGCTGGGAACTACCATGAAAATATGGGGTGTACAACCTGTACTTCATGTTTTTATAGAGCAGTGGTCTCCAAACTGTGGCCCGGGGGCAGGATGCTGCCCTTTGCTTGCCTTTATCAAGGCAGTAGGACGCTATCTCTCCCACTGATATCAAAGATGGGACAAACCCTCTCCCTATGACACCAACAATTGACACTATTCCTTTCATTCATACCAAAAATGCAGCACTCTGCCTCTTGCAGAAACCAGCAATAGGGCATTATTCCTCCCATTAATACCAGTGATGGGACACTATTCTTTTCACTGACACCAATGATTGGGGACCTATTCCTCCTCCTCCTGGTGACCGCAGGTGCTTTGTAATATTTTACTTTCAGTGCTCACCAAGCCTGGGACATGGTGTACTCCCACTGACACTGGGGCATTAACTACTCCCACTGGCCACAGTCCGGCCCCCCTAAAGTCTGAATGAGAGTAAACTGAACCTTTGGTTAGAAAGTTTGGAAACCCCTGGCATAGAGTATATCTGTCTCCATGCAGAAATGCGGATGGTCAGTTTTGCTTGGGAATGCCCAGTTATAGGTCCACATGGAAAACGTGAAAGTGGTCAGATGAATTGATAGATAGAAAAGTTCATGGATGGTTATTTTAACAGAATCACCCTTTGATGCAACGGCAGGATAACCCTTATGGTGTAGTATAGAATAAGATATGAATGTGAAATGAAACATAAAAAAAAGTATAGTTTCGAAACTCAAATCTGGAAAGGTTGGGAACTACCATGAAAAGGATGGTGTACCTCTCGTTGTAACGTACCTGGTGGTGGAGCCTGATGTGGAGAGAAGGCATCCTCTTACCACTCCCGTTCGGGACCCCTGATAGGATAGACAGGAGGCAATGAGCTGGGAGGGGCACGAGTGCCTGACGGGTCTGCGGTGACAGCTGGCAGGTGAAGACCCGGAAGACCAGGATGCAGGTGAGCAGCAGAGAGGTGTAGCTGAGATGCGGATGACAGTGGCAGCTGGTAGCCAGAGGTAGTCACAGGCAGAAGAGGTAGAATAGTCAGGCAGGCTGGGTCAGGATCAATCAGATGGATCAGGTACAGAGGAATAGGCAAGTGGATAGTCAAAGGGAGAGCCGGGTCGGTGCAGGCGGAGATCAGTCTTAGTCAGGGTCAAGCAGGTAGATCACAGGAGTCAGGATACAGATACAGGACGCAGTAGACCAGAAGGCACCATTCTGTTTGCAGCAGGGGTTTAAATAGCCCGCCTGTGCGCGTCAGCGCGTGTATGTGTGCGCACTTGGGTGAGCGCAAATGTGTGCGTATGCGCACCGGCACGGCCATCGGGAACCCGGTGTTGGCGCACAGATGCGAAGTTCTTCTTCCCTGACACTCGAACTGTACTTCCCGTTTGTATACAGTATATCTGTCTCTATGCAGAATTGTTGATGACCATTCTTGATGCTTGGGAATGACCATTCATAGGCTCATTTGGGAAACACTGGGATGGTCAGATGAATTGATGGAGATGAAAAAGTCCATGAATGGCTATTGTAACAAAGGCACCCATGGAGGCTTGTAGGTAACCATACTTGGAACTGTGATATATAATGAATATTTGGAACTAAGATATTTGAAGAAAAATCTGGAAGGTGTTTCCTCTTGTAGTACTACCCCAACAAAGGAGCTGCATGTCACAAGTTAGCCTGCAGTTTCTTGTTTATGTATTTTTACCTCCTTGCTGCAGTGCTGTTCCTGATCCCTTTCACATGTGTGTTTGTCTGTGCTCACCTATGGACGTCATCTGCTGTTCTTGGGTTTTTATTTCCTTCCCGTCCATCACTTCCTGGCCTGCCTCCTTGTTTGCCTGCCTATATAAGACATGCTCAGTCTAGGCCACTTTGCCTGAGCAACTTCCTAGTTGTCTGAGCTCCTGTGTGTTGCTATTGCCTGTATCCTGCATTGACTACTTGTGTACCGACCCCGGCTTCGTTCTCTGACTGTGCTTGTTTTCCGCCCGTCCTGACCTCGACTAGTCTATCGGATTTCTGTTTGTCTCCTCCCATTGTACTCTGCTCCCGCGAGCGGTCTCCTCATCCTCAGCTGGGTGTACCTGGGTGCTGCGACCTGGTCCCGGCTTGCTGCAAGTCCATCCCCACCATCAGGGGCTCTGGTGAAGAAGCAGGCTGGAGTAGTCCTGGGGAACCCCAAGCTGAGTATCAACAAGGGCTCACTACCACAGGTGCTGACACTGCAGATATATGGTGTGTTCTCCTACTGCTTCCAGTGATGAACCACCCTGAAACTGGACCCGAAAACACACACCGGCACACCAATGGCTAAATATGGGCTTTATTAAAGCAGAAATAGGCCCTGAGGAGAACTGTTGGGCACACAGGTTTGATAATAGTAGAAACATTTCAATACCGGTGGACTAATATTACTATGACGTGGAAAAGACTGGTGTTTGTTCTTTTTACTGCCCATGAGGGGCCTTACCTCAAGGCATTGGGCAAGTAGAGAACTCCACTGCAATGCAATAATAAAAAGTAAGAGGGGGGTACTTGACTAGAGGGGGGGGGGTAACTAACTGCCACTTTCAAAGCTCTAGCTAACTACCAGCCAGTAGGCAAATCTACCACAAAATCTCCTGAAAGTTGTCCCCTTTAAAATTTTATGGTGGGTATACCATGGTGGGTGGGTAGTATGTCATCCTTTAAGGCCCTAAAACAGCTTACAAAAATTGGATATGGGTTCTATTAAGGTAACAGTGTCCCAAGCAAGTGTAGGCAAAAGGTTGCCAAAGGCTGATCACCACTCCATGACCAGTAGTAAGTTCTCCCAAATGCAGTATATTCTTCGGGATAAGGGTCGGTGAGATGAAAGACTCCTCCGATGGGCTGGTGTGGGGTCTATCAACACTGCTCCGAGCTGGAGGATGCATCTTTCTGACTCTATAGAATGGCCAGTGTTTGTTATCTAAAGAGGTCAGCTGGGGGAAGCACTAAAGACCGGAACCCAGCTGGAGGAAAACAAAAACGAGATGCTGCTAGAGATCCTTGAACTATGGCACTGGTGACTGCACCTGCCCGGATGGTCAGCTTCTTTGATCTTGGCTATTGGTAGAAAAGAAGCACCCCTTTGCTGATTACAGCAGCTCAACAAACTTTGCTCTAGCTGGGAGTGTGCACCTTCCTACACTGCTGCTCCTCCTCATGGTCTTGCTGACCCCCCGGTGGCCTCATGGACCTCCCTGGAGTGGAGTGGGTCGGTTTGTGGGTCCTTCTAACCCTATTGGTAGACCTCTTTGCTGTTACTTTTCTGTGTTGCACTTTTCCCCCCTTCACCCCACATTTGGAGGTCAGGGCTCAGTTCCAGGCCACCAATGCAGCTAATCCATTCCCTCCCCATCCCCTTTGCTGTGCTGTCCAACTACACAGCAGGGAGGAGAAGCAACCTGCATCATGAGTGACCATGTTGCCTGTAATGAGCAGCTTCTGAGCCATAATGGTTCCACCAGTGCCAGGGCTACACGTCTTTACAAAGTATATTCTATTAAATACCAACTCCGCCTTTCCTGATAGATGGTCACTTCAAATAAAAGGTGCAACAAAGGTTCTAGTGAGAACCATGATCATGGAGGATATTTAATATCCACAAAGCTTGTTTGACTCTTAACCACTTCCTGTCCAGCCCATGTATATAAATGGCCGAACGGGAACAGTGCAGGATCAGGTGGCTGTTTCTAAACGTCCTCCAGCCTCCCTGCCTGTGCGCGCTTCCTAGGAGACACAGCGGAACACCGCTCGCTGTACGGGACCTCTGTGTGAGGTCCGGATCATGTGATCACTGATTGGCCAATCAGTGATCACATGCAGAGTAGTAAGCAAGATGTCACTTCTGACATCATTGCTTACTATGTGTGAAATCTGTGAATGATCACAGAGGTCACCTGGTACAGGGATATTCACAACAGCCTTGTACCATGTGACAAGCTGTGACCAATCACAGCTCGCACAGTATTTCTCAATGGCTGCAAGAAAGGAGAAATGATTGATTTTACAGCCTTTATGGATGTAAAAGCAATCAGTGTAAAAAAAAAAAAAATCTTCATCACCCCCCACAAGTAGTACAGTGTCCCCATGGTGACACTGTACTGCTAGGGTGACAGTATGTTTTTAAAAAAAATATATTTAATAATAATATTAATATAAAAAAAAATAAATATATAATTTTTGGTTATAAACTAATTTGGGTTATTTTTATTTTACTAAAAAGATAGCTGAATATATTTTGGCCGAGATTTATGAAAAAAGATTATTTATTTGCAAACTTTTATAAGAAAAACACTTTTTTTTCAAAATGTTTGGACTTTTTCATTTATATAGCAAAAAAATAAAAATCCCAGCGGTGAATAAATACCACCAAAATAAAGTTTTAACTGTCTCAACAAAATGCTAAAAAAATTCACACAGGTACAGTGTTGCATGACCGCGCAATTGTCATTCAAAGTGTGCTAGCACTGAAAGCTGAAAATTGGCCTGGACAGGAAGGGGGTGAAAGTGTCCGGACTGGAAGGGGGGTGAAAGTGTCCGGACCGGAAGGGGGGAAAGTGTCCGGAGGGGGGAAAGTGTCCGGACTGGAAAGTGGTGAAAGTGTCCGGTCTGGAAGAGGGTGAAAGTGTCCGGACTGGAAGAGGGTGAAATTGTCCGGACTGGAAGGGGGTGAAAGTGTGACTGGAAGGGGGTGAAAGTGTCCGGACTGGAAGGGGGTGAAAGTGTCCGGACTGGAAGGGGGTGAAAGTGTTTGGACTGGAAGGGGCTGAAAGTGTCTGGACTGGAAGGGGGGTGAAAGTGTCCGGACTGGAAGGGGGGTTGAAAGTGTCCGGACTGGAAGGGGGTGAAAGTGTCCGGACTGGAAGGGGGTGAAACTGTCTGGACTGGAAGGGGGTGAAAGTGTCCAGACTGGAAGGGGGTGAAAGTGTCCGGTCTGGAAGGGGGTGAAAGTGTCCGGACTGGAAGGGGGGTGAAAGTGTCCGGACTGGAAGAGGGTGAAAGTGTCTGGACTGGAAGGGGGGGAAAGTGTCCGGACTGGAAGGGGGGTTGAAAGTGTCCGGTGGAAGTGTGTCCGGACTGGAAGGGGGTGAAAGTGTCCGGACTGGAAGGAGGTGAAAGTGTCCGGACTGGAAGGGGTGAAAGTGTCCGGACTGGAAGGGGGTGAAAGTGTCCGGACTGGAAGGGGGTGAAAGTGTCCAGACTGGAAGGGGGTGAAAGTGTCCGGTCTGGAAAGGGGTGAAAGTGTCCGGTCTGGAAGGGGGGTGAAAGTGTCCGGACTGGAAGAGGGTGAAAGTGTCCGGACTGGAAGGGGGGGAAAGTGCTCAGTCTGGGAAGTTAATGTTTACGAGTCCAATACATCTGGTGAGTGCAGGATGTATTGGATGTCAAGGGTGGCGTGAACGCACTGAATTTTCTATAAAAGCATCATTGAATATGATATTAGAGCACATTTGAATTGGACATTCTTTTGGATTTTTTTTTTTTTTTGATTGGGGCAAATTTTTTTTTCCATTTTTTTTAATATTTATGACATATATATATATATAATTATTTGATTTGATTTGTATTATTTGTGCGCTGTTTTATATTCTCACTATATTGTTTTCTGACAACAGAGCAGCAGCCTTTTGAATTCAGGATACACATATTCTCTAACATTAATATTTTTTGCCACAGGGGTTGTTTTATTAATTTAATAGGTTCTACAATAGGTTAGAAATTAGCCACGTAATATCTAAAATGTATACTATAACATATTCCAGAGTGTCAAAAATAAATATCAAATGCAATAAATACGATGAAAAAAAGCAACTCAAGAGATTTACTATAATACACATTTCTCCTGTGTAAATATAAAACCAATTCACACTAAACATTACTCAACCATATACTCAGCGAAAAATAAATCATCAAATGTGTTCAATCCCTGGCCACCAAATTATCTCTTCCTCCCTAGGAATACCAAAATATCAGTCAGTGTCCAAACAATAAATGTCCTCAATTCATGCCCATGAGTGATCTTTCTTCCCCTCCTAGCTCATTGGGTGTTCAATCTTCAAAAAACTCCAAAAAGTATCCTCCTCTTCATCTTCAATCCTCAAAAAAAAAGTGCAAAATCCACACATACCCAAATGGAAGAAAAATATATTTGAAATATATTAAAAAAAATATTCCTCCCAAATATATTGACATATATTTGAAATGCTACAATTTTGGCCATATTCTATATTTTTCAAAATATATTTCAATAAATATATATATGTTGAAATGCGTTTTTTATATATTACAAAATATATGAAAAATATTTTTTTAAATATATTCTTCAGATTTTTTTTTTAGCAAGTTATCTCTTCCTCCCTAGGAACACCAAAGTATGCAGTTCCTTCTCAGCGTCCAAACAATAAATGTCCTCAATTCACGCCCGTGAGTGATCTTTCTTCCCCCTTGGATGTTCAGTTTTCAAAAACTCCAAAAAGTATCCTCCTCTTCGTCTTCAATCCTCAAAAAAAATGTGCAAAATCCACACATGCCCACATCATGGAAGAAAAATATATCTGAAATATATTTTAAAAAATATTCTTCCCAATATATATTGCCATATATTTGAAATGCTACAATTTTGGCCGTATTCTATATTTTTTCAAAATATATTTCAATAAATATATATATATATGTTGAAATGCATTTTTTATATATTACAAAATATATGAAAAATATTTATAAAAATATATATATATTTTAAACGTATTCTTCAGATTTCCTTTAACATATAAAAAAGTAATTTTAGCATATATACATATATTTATAAATGCATTCCAAAAAAGTAGATTTGTATTTTTAAAGACATACAGTATATTTGAAATGTATTTTTAAAAATATTTTCATATGTTTTGTAATAAAAAACGCATTTCAACATGCAGTGTATATATATATATATATATATATATATATATACACACACACACATACACACAGTATATATATATATATATATATATATATTATTTTTTTAAATATATTTTGAAATATATTGAAAATGGCCAAAATTGTAGCATTTTAAATATATGTCAATATATTTGGGAAGAATATTTTTAAAATATATTTCAAATATATTTTTCTTTTGTTGTTTGGACACTGAGAAGAAAGTGTATAATACACATTTCCTGTTTAACATTTTGACACTTTGAATGTGTTTTTTCAAGAAAGTATATTGTCGCTGTTGAAGGCAGCACTCTGTTTTTTTTTCTTTGTTTTGCTGCCTCTAGGTCACATTGGGAAGCCAAAAAGCCTGAATATGTAGGCAGGTTACCTACTGATAGTCAGTGCTGCCCCAGCTGGGAGGGAAGGAGATAATATTTTATGCTGCCATTCCCTTTCTGAATTTCCAGGCTTCTTGGGTCCAACACCAGTTCTGTATGATTATAACCGGGACAGGGGTCCAGATCTACGGGGCCATTAAGCAGAGCCTTGCCTAGCCTTCACCAGGTAGGGGGACTTCTGGGACCTGCAGTCTGCCCTGAAGACACTAACCTCTGGAGCATTGCCATGATGGACTATGGCAAGAATGGACTACACCAGGTATGCTGGGGCAGCCAAAGCCGTAGTTAGGTCTAGAGACTTTGTGCAGTTTGTTTGTTCTAAAAAAATTTTGCAGTAAAGCTTTGAAATGTTATTCTGCCTAGTCTAGAGTTAATCAAAGGGGTGTTTGGAAGTAACGGGCACGCCAAACTTAGCCGTCCAAGAGTTTTGGGTCAAGAAAAGCACATTGGGGTGTCAAGTACTAACATGGTACAGAGGTGGTTACTAGGCGTAACAGAAGTCTACCAGCCTGTCATGAAGTGTGGTGCCAATGACAGTCGGGGTGTCCTCTAGCAGTGAGGGGGGTTGCTGTTGGTACCCTCTCCCCCAGCAGTCCGTCAGCACTGCAGAGGCCCTCAGCCTAGCCCCTCCATACAGAACAGAAAATGTTAACATGGACTACATATAAGGGCCACACTAGGTGCTCAGTAGGACCCCATTCTGTTACTGGGAATGAGGTAAGAGAGTTACGCTGGACAGGTGGAGCGGGCACAGGTTTAGCATGTCCCTCCTAAATGCAGAAAATTACGGTGGAGGTGTGCAATGACACAAGCAGAAAGAGAGTTAACTGGAGTCCAGTTAATTGTTCGGTGTACATGGTGTGCGGCCATCTCTAAATTGGAGGTACGCCTTAAGGTTCAGTCATCCCTGAAAGCGGCCTCCACCTTGTCCCGGGGCATTGATGGGCATGACACAGTAAAGGTGTCCCATGTGCGAGGCAAGCGATCCCATCCATGGTGCAAGAAGAACCCGACCCTGGGGTAGGCCTCTTATAGGACCCACACTTGGCACCCAATGAGTAAGGCTACATGGAGGAAGTCCCACCTAACTACCCCCAGCCAGCTAGCAAACAGACCGCGATGTTTGAGACTTTTTGCAATAATCTGAACTTTCAGTTTCTGATTTTGTGGTGGTTGGAAGTACCTACTAATCCATAATGATACTTCCCAACCTGCTGGAAAATCAGTGTATGAACAAACCTGAGATGAACAAACCTGAGATGAACGAACCTGAGATGAATGAACCTGAGATGAATGAACTTGAGATAAACAAACCTGAGATGAAAAAACCTGAGATGAAAAAACCTGAGATGAAAGAACCTGAGATGAACGAACCTGAGATGAATGAACCTGAGATAAATTAACCTGAGATGAATGAACCTGAGATGAACGAACCTGAGATGAACGAACCTGAGATGAACGAACCTGAGATGAACGAACCTGAGATGAACGAACCTGAGATAAACGAACCTAAGATGAACGAACCTGAGGTGAACGAACCTGAGGTGAACGAACCTGAGATGAATGAACCTGAGATAAATGAACCTGAGATAAATGAACCTAAGATGAACGAACCTGAGGTGAACGAACCTGAGATGAATGATCCTGAGATGAACAAACCTGAGATGAACAAACCTGAGATGAATGAACCTGAGCCATGTCTCTTCTACATAGAAGAACAAAGGAAAAGAGGACCTTCAGTGTCTAGTAGGGTGACAATTGCAGCAGGTTACAGTGCTCAGGAGGTATCTTCTTGTAGAATGGTCCAGCTTGGGCCGTACCATACCGCTGACACAGACTCTTTCCGATGGGTAGACTGACTCTGGATCCACTGAAACCAAGTGTTTACCTTTTCCTTCGGGGAAATAATGTTATTGTTATTAATTAACCTTCCTTCTGCATGTTCCGGTTCAAGGAGATGCTAAACGCCTCCATCTCCAGACATATCCATCTCCAGACATATCCATCTCCAGACATATCCATCTCCAGACATATCCATCTCCAGACATATCCATCTCCAGACATATCCATCTCCAGACATCGCTCTTATTCGCCTTATAGGAGCTTGATGGAGCTACTGCAATTCATCACTTGATTTCCCAGATAAATGGATATCTATGTGAGCAGGCTGTATTTATTAAGGCATTTCCCACATGGAAGAAAAATATATTTGAAATAATACAATTTTGGCCATATTCAATATTTTTCAAAATATATTTCAATAAATAAATATATATATGTATATTTTTATACGTTGAAATGTATTTTTAAAAGTATATTTCATATATTTTGTAATAAAAACGCATTTCAACATGCAGTGTATGTATATAATATATATAATATATATATATAAAATATATTTTTAAATATATTGAATATGGCCGAAATTGTAGTATTTCAAATACCGTATTTTTCGCTCCATAAGACGCACCTAGGTTTTAGAGGCAGAAAACAGGGGAAAAAAATTCTGAACTAATGGACTGCAGACATAGTACAGGAGATGACCAGAGACTGTGGACAGCACAGGGATGACCAGAGACTGCGGACACAGTACAGGAGATGACCAGAGACTGCGGACACAGTACAGGAGATGACCGGAGACTGCGGACACAGTACAGGAGATGACCAGAGACTACGGACATAGTACAGGAGATAACCAGGAGAGACTGCAGACACAGTACAGGAGATGACCGGAGACTGCGGACACAGTACAGGAGATGACCAGAGACTGCGGACACAGTACAGGAGATGACCGGAGACTGCGGACATAGTACAGGGATGACCAGAGACTGCGGACATAGTACAGGGATGACCAGAGACTGCAGACACAGTACAGGAGATGACCAGAGACTGCGGACAGTACAGGGATGACCAGAGACTGCGGACACAGTACAGGAGATGACCAGAGACTGCGGACATAGTACAGGGATGACCAGAGACTGCGG